GAAAGGGAAAGGGAAAGGGAAAGGGAAAGGGAAAGGGAAAGGGAAAGTTTAGCTTTCTTTTTATTACCTCACATTCTTTATTCCTTACATTCTATGGTTGATTATTTATTCCTTGGCACGCATTTGTCATTAAGATTTTGTGTGTGGTTACTATCACTTTGTATGAACTTTCATGTTTCATTCTTTGAACCAAGATATATTGTATGAATGTTGCTTCATAAATAAATATAATAATGAATGTAACAATGGGTGGCTGTAAGGAACAAATATACTTTATCCTTACGCTTATAAAAATTAAAATGTTAAGATGGAAATGTGGAAGACGTATTAAAAAAGGATTAAAGTTTTGCTAGTAGTTTGTAAATATTTCAAACTGCTAATCGATTTTTTAAAAAATACAGAAAAATAACAGGTGCATAATGATATCCTTGAAAGGATTCATTAGGAAAGCTTGAACAGCAAGGGCATTAAAGCATATTAGTTTAGATAATGAAGTCAAAAAAATTGTGTTCATCATTGTGTCATTGTCACCAAAGTACATAGTGATAAATGAAACAGACTTCTCTAATGGAAATCGTAAATGTTCAAATTTAATAAACCATTATTAGCACTTTTATAACATTGATGTTTTATGTTCATTACATGCTCATTGCATTACAAGTTTATTTCCTGTTTCATTTTTCCACTGTCATTGTGTATTGAATGTTTATGAAAGACAGGTCTATTTTTTTATGTTCTACAGTACAGTATGTGAGTAACATTCAGACCTTAATGGGAGTGTTACCTCATTTTCAAATCAAATTATCTAGTTTTAGCGGCAAAAGGGAAATAAATTTATCAGGAAACAAACAAACAAACAAACAAACAGAATACAAACCAATACAAATGCTGTGGTTCCTAAGTTGCTGACTGAAATACACGGAGGTTATGTTTGCCAGTTACCATTTTAAATAAAAGTCATAGGCTTCCTGGGATTCTTCATTCATTACCATTAACAGTCTTACATTTAGAGTGTATATAAATTTTAAGCTGCTGGAAGGTACATGACCCAAGTAAGTTTAATTGCACAAATAACGACATGGATTTTTTATTTTTTTTTTAATTATTTTTTTAATTAAGAACTGAGAAACAGAGATCTGTACATGTCTAGAATATTTAATCTCATTTGTAAGTAATCGTTGCCTTTAAAAAAACAAAATCTTTGTTTCCAAGAAGTAAAGCTGATATCTTCTACAGAGCAACAGCAGCATTTTGGAAGATTCTGAGTTGTTTGTCTCCGTTGCTTTATCTGTATCTTTTCTAATTTTTCCTCTGCAGGATTAAGCTGTCTTTCTTCGCTAACATACTATACTATCAAAAGCTTTCAAAAACAGGACATTCAGTCCAATTGTCTGAGACTCCTAGAATATCTGTTTATTTCTCCTCTTCTTTGTTTACTCCAACTATCCCCAAAAGTTGCTCATTAGCTCAAAACCGTCCATTTCCGGAATGCCATTGGGTTTGCAATTTGCAATTCAGGAACCACAATAATAAAAGTGAAAAAGTTATACAGACTTGGTAAAAACTATGTAACTTCAGAGGCAAGTCTAGAATACCATAAGCACATACTATAAATGCACTACTTAACACTATCAACTGTATTTGTGACATATATATATATATTCATATATATAATTTATATATAATTTTTATTTTTATATACTCATTTATGTTTATGTTTACATTTATATGTGTTTTGCTTGCTGGGCTTTTAAAAATTATTTTTATTTTTTTGTTTATTTATTAAATTTCAGTGTTCAATGCTGTACCTCTTCCTCTTCAGACAATTATCAGGATTCCTATTGGATTCTTAACAGATTTGAAGTCACACAAAGATGCATATCTGACATTATCTTTGAAGCTTTTTGTTCTACAAGGGAAACAGAGATTAAACTGTGATGTGGTCAACTTATTGATCTTGGAGCACATTTAGATATCTGCTTTGTTAATTTGTCCTTGCCTTAATATCTGACAGTGCACATTTATAAATACATGCAGGTGAAGATTTTATGTCATTTTCATTTTCATGTAAACCTCTGACAGTAAGCACAGAAAATGAATATGCCAATGGTTTCCCAGCTCTGGCCATGGTATCAATTCATATTAAATAGAAATGGAAGCTTATTTTCAATGTTTTTTTAATGAAAAAACTAATGTGAACTGTTTAGAATATTAACAATCAAATTTCTGTTATATCAGAATGCTTAGTAACCAATTTCAGATGTTCAGGTTTTCTTAATTGAAACAAATTCCAGTATTACTGTAACATTGAACAATGCATTATCAAGACATCATTTCTTGTTTAGCATTTGTCCGTGAATATAAAACATCTCTACTTTAAAGTAGTAGAGAGATTAACACTTAAAGATTAGTGATTTTCAAGTTTCATCTCTTATAATAATTTTTTTGGAGAGTCAGGACCCTGAATATTACATGTCTTCCAAAAAATTATACAGTTCTCTCTTTTTTTTTTTTATTCTTCCAACTTCCTCTGGTGGAGCAAACCAGTAATTCATCAATTTTGAGTGATTAACAGTGGGAAGTATTTGAGAATCTATAAAACAGTATAATGCTTTTTTTTTTTACTACCGCTACTATAACAGATGTAAAGTTTATTGTCTGAGAAAGACGATTTCAATCTGACATTGCCATGCAGGTGGTGAGTTGTGACAACCACCTTATATACAAATGAGCCTCTTATCTTTATTTATTCGCCTTACTTCTGTTCCCCACATTGAAAACACATCTGTTAAGCCACCTGTTACATCTTATTATAAACATCAACTGAAATTTCTATTAAATTTTCAAACTACTGTGTTGGGTTTTTTTGTTTGTTTTTCAGGAACTGAAAAATGAAGTCTTGTTTTTCCATCTCTTCATGGAGGTCTAGATTAAGAAGTGCTGTTCGTCATCCAGCCTAGGTACCTAGGTACAATTGCTTTTAACCCCTAACTAGGGTGTATCAAATTGTAATTCTTACCTCACAAAGTTTCCATGTTAAGTCTTTATGTTAAATCTTCAAGGTTCTGTACCATCAGTATTATTGTTCATTTGTTCTCACTGTTGATTGGTTTGAAAAACTATTTTACCTCTTGTTTAGATGTCTATCTTTAGCTTTCAGCCACTGGTTTCTGCTGTGTTTTGTCTTTCTCAACATTACAGTCCTTTGTATTCAGAACTGTTCAACCATGGAGGAAATTAAAAGTTTTTAAAAGTCATCCTTTCCTCTAAAGCACATACCATAGGAGCAGGAAGTCCTTTTCCCTGACTTCATCACTACACAAATGCAGTTAGATTGGATTGCACTGCTCACTAAAGTAGACATGGGCTGAATCATCCTGTTTTTTTCTGTAGCTCTATGTGGGAGAAAGGCACCTCTAAGCCTAACTCAGAATCACTCTTTGGTTTTGCTGAAAGTACCCTGTTGAAGTACAGAAAGTTTAACAGACATATTCAGGACTAACTACTTTTTTATCTATATAACATGTATAAGAAAGAATGAATGCATTTTCATATCAGAATTTCATACAACAGCAGAACAACTCCTTAATATTTAAGTCAAATCAATTACATGTCCCATAAAAATACAGTTAGTTAATTATAATTTCTAATACACAATTGAATATGAATACCATCTCAGATTACTTTTTCTATTATTTGCTTACCATTTTTGTCATGCAATTCTATTGATCATTCCACTTATTCTTTCTAAACACAGTAACAGCAACCATTCTCTCCTATTCTTCTCATATTCAAATAGGAAAAATTATATCCTTAAATCTGCTCAACTCCCTCCTGAACTAAAGATAAGCTGAAAGTTATTGGCTGTCTTCTGGCTGAAAGTTGCTTATCCGAAAATCCTTTTTAATGATGACCTTGGACATGGAAATATTTCATTATCTCTACATTATTATTTTTTAATATTTTTTTCCATTCAGAATGCAAGAATTCTCAATATTTATTCATTTTATGTATTATAATTGACAGAATATCGTCTGTAACTAGTAAAGGACTGATAGGTTTGTTGGGATTTTTTTTTTTTTTTACCTGGAGTGAATATTTTAAATGTATTATAGTCTATTAATAATTAGCTTTTACCTTCACAGCCTATTCTGTTAGTCATGGACTTACCACTTTAAAATAATTCAGTTGAATATTTTCCATCCTATGATTTTCAGTCCTATTGTGTAAGTTGAAGAAATAATGCGAAGTTCACTAATTCTATCAGGTACAACAATAACACAGACGTAAAATCCATGTTTTCTGTTTATGATTTCATAAAAGACATGTAGTATATAGCATGAAAAATCAACTTTGTAGTATAGAATTCTAGCTAGCCCTCAAAGGTCTACATGAGAATCAGGACACTCAACAACTGGCAATATGCTTTTTTCCCCCAAGAAATTAGAAAACAATAAATGAATGAAAAAAGTTACTTAGAGAAAACTAGATAGCTAAACCAAATATACAAATACCTATTTGTTCATTTACATATGTGTGTGTTTGTCTGCTTGCTTATACGTTCATATATATTCTTTGAGGGTTTTTTTGTTTGTTTTTGTTTTTTTTCTGTAAAGTAAACAAAATAGTTAAGTGGTTTCATAACTCAGTGCTTTTTGGTGAATCAATATAAATTTTGTTCTGAAGGGCTTAGTGATTTAGAAACTGAAAGAGACCTGGGGGTTCT